AAAGATATTTGCTTATGTTATAGTTTTGTCTCATTTCTATCTTTTTCTTTTCTATTTATTAATTTCTTTTTTTTTTTCCTTATGACTTCCACATTCGACTTCAAATGCAGTCCTGACACTTAAGACATAAACACGTAGTCTAGACGACAGGTCTACCCTTTCCATTCTCTGATTGCATCTAAAGAATGCAACCACGATCTCGTCAACGTAGCCCTTCGTCGACTATCCTCACGCACAACAATCGGGAAGACAAGTGCCTCTTCCTCCTTTTCTATTTTTCTTTATGCTTTTCTTTTTTTTTCTTTTCTTCTTCTTCTTCTTCTTCTCCTTCTCCTTCTCCTTCTTCTTCTTCTTCTTCTTCTTCTTCTTTTTCTTCTTCTTCTTCTTCATTTTTCATCTCTCTTCTCCTTTCGTTCTTCGTGAATAACATCTACGATATTACAAGAGATTTTCTCTTTCTGTTTCTACATGTTTCTTTTACTTTCGTTTTTATTCGTAATTTTCAAACGAAACAAATTGGCAGAAAAGAGAACAGCAAATATATTCCCGTCATTCTCGAATGAAAAACAAGAATCATGTGTATGTGTGTGTGTGTATTCAGCTTTGTACTATTTATATCTATTATTTTAATTACTTGTCAGAGAAAAATTATAATGTCAAGAGTGATATATACTTTGATGACGAAAAAAAAGAAAATCCTTTGAAATCATTTTTTTTAAAGTAATATACATATTAATTTGTAAATTCGAAAGACATTCAAATAATTTTGTCAATTCAATTTTTAATCCACTGTATTACAATTATTTTCTTTTTAATTTATTCTTCATCAATTCTGATTGAACTTTTTCTAATTTTTATATCTCATGTCTTTACGTACGTATACATATAGAATGTCTTAAAATAAGTAGAAAATATTTCAAGAGGAGAAAAAAGTAACTTTAGCATATTTAAACAATGAAAAAAGTTCATATAAACGTATGTCCTATTTGACTTTGTTTTCGAGTTATAACGGATTTGATTTTCAACGGACTCTATCTGCTTACTTTTATAAGAGACGTTCAAAATAACTTTCTTACATCTGAATATAAGCAGACGTCTTATCAATGATTATTTTATACTCTCCATATGTTCAGGCGTTGCTCGAATTTTCTAGAAACTTTGCTCAGTTCTTTCATAAAAAATAAAAAGTTTCAACATACATAGTCAATAGATGTTCTATACATAATAGATATCGTCTATCTAACGAAAGAATTATCGTGATATATAATTCGCTAATACTCGAAAACAAAGTCAAATATGACATATATTTAGATAAACTTGTCTTTTATTGTTTGAATATGCTCAAGTCATTCTTAAAATGTTTCCCATTTATTCTAAGACATTTTATATACTTTAAAAGAAATTTATAAATAAAATTAATTCCCATAGATCTGTATTATTAATCAAATAAAGTGTCGTGTTGGAGTTGACTTCAAATAAAAAAAAAATATAGCGTTATACTAATAGTTAGCAATGACATCATAGTGCAAAAGGTTAAAGATCTGTTGAATATTTAAATAAAACGAGATAGTAGAAATTAAAAAAGAGAGAGAGAGAGGAAAATGGAGTAGCAGAGTAAGAAGATGAAGGAGAGATAGGGAAAATAAGTCTTCCGAGCATATTTACTCGCGATTCGAAGGATTTAGATTGAAATAACATCGCGTAAGCGAGCGACAGGATGGATCGACGGGTAAAGCCCATGGAACGAGGTCGAGAAGGGAAAAGGAAGGAAGCGTCAGCGTCTCTTCGAGAAAATATATATATATATATTGACTCCCGCCAAAAGACACCTCGAACATTTTCAGCCACGATGGAATAGCTTCAAGATTGCTTTAAAGAGAAACGGACCTTAAGCCAGTCTCTATGGCAAAAAGATTATGTTTTATATTTTATTATAATGAAAAATAATACGAATATCTTACGAAGTAATTAAAGATATAAAAATAATAGAATTGTCAATGGTTAATAATTAAAATGAAATAATAAAGAAAAAAAAGAAAATAACGAATAAATACATAAGTATGTGCGTACATACATTAATTCCGTGTATTTTCATGTGTAACAAGTATAAAAATTTTGTATGTAACAAAAAGAAATTGTTAAATGTTTTTAAATTGTTAAATGTATTTATAAAAAATTATCGAATCCGTTATGAATTACATAGATGTATCTGAAAAGACAGAAAAATCCTTTGTAAGTTACGTTCAAGATCGTTCGAGAAAAGCACCATCTTCGAAGAGCTCTTATTTCGTACCTACTCGAAAGATCCTTTGGGTTTCACCCTCGTCTAAAAGAAGGATCAACCGTTGACGTTGACGAGTATCCTTCGAATTGGCTGACAAAATGTCCAATATCATTTTCCCTTTAATATGTCAAAATATAAAAAACGTTCTTTCGTGAAAATGAGACTACTTATATTTTTTATTTTTTTGTCTATTTTCTTTACTTCAAACTTTTCAAGTAAACACGAGAGTATTTTTTTCTTTCCAGACGTCGTTCGTTATTCTTTTAAAATAAACTCGAAGATCTATGAGATTAAAGGAATTCGTTATAGTTCGTTTCGTGCGTTTGAATAATAATTAGCGTAACTTCATTGATAAATAAGAACCAAGGAATGAAAAGCCGACTCATACGTTCGATAGAATCTACAAAAATGGACGGTCTCTATATTCAATGAAATAGAGACTTGATTTTCGGTTATATATCACGGAAGCTCACGATGAATCGATCGAAAGTCAGCCAATGGACGAGATATATTTACTCGAGAGTATATCCATGATGACACGATATGCATCACTTATCGTCTAGATACGATAGAAATGTTCTGATGATCATCTTTGAATTTTTTAATACGAATTGAAAAATTCGAAATTTACGAAACCAAGAGTAAATCTATTTGTCTTTGTTTTATTTCTATTTCTATTTACTGTGATTTAAAGTATTTATATTGTTATATTTGTCATTAATATATAAAATGTTAATAATTATTAATTAATTTGTCAATTATTTAATTATTATTATTATTATTTTATAATTTTTAATTAATTTATAATTACGTTCGAAGTTCACGTTAAAAAATAAAACTGTAAGATGTAGGAAGTAACAGAGAACACAAACAAAAAGAGAAACAAGTTGATGGGACAGAGATTGTAGAGATTTTTATTATTAAAATGCTGACCGTAGTAACGAATCCGTCTAAAAGGAACAACGTTGCAATGGCCAAATGCCAACGAACGAATATTCCATTATGGAGACAGCCAATGTCTGAATCTCTTCGTTTCAATGTCGCCCTCTTTTACCCTCGGGCATATGCAAAACCCTTCATAAAGAAATTCTCTCGTTTGCTGGCTAAAATAGAGGATAGAAAAAGAGAAAGAAAAGATTTGTGTAAGAGAAAAAGAATTACATAAAAAAAATTTACGAATATTAATCATATCGAAATATCATATGAATCATTTTCATAAATGATTCACACACACACACACACGTGCGCGCGCATACACACACGCACACTAATAAATATTAAAAATATTAAAATTATTATTTAATTATTTATTCAAGAAATAGAACTGGATAAGACACAACGATGAGTATTTTAATTCGAAATTTCTAATCGTGACTTAAGAAGAAGACTAGATTTTTCTCGGAGAGAACCTTCCTAAAATACGACAAATGAAAAGAAAGAAAGAAAGGAAAAAGTAAAGAAGTAGTAGTCGGAATCGCAATATCCGCGAGTCACGCGTAACGTTGCTTTCGGCGAACGAAGAAAGAAATAGACCAACGATAAAACCAGCAAGGTAGATTTGCTTGTTGGTAGAGCTTCGGTTTAATTTAGTTTAGCTTGGTCAATAGTTTGTCTGTTATTGCACTTGAACGACCATGGCTGCCGGCATTGCTGTTGTTGCTGTTGTTGCTGCTGCTGCTGCTGCTGCTGCTGCTGCTGCTGCTGCTGCTGCTGCTACTACTACTGCTGCCTGCGAGCGTCGAAGGACTACCCTCTTCATTTGCATACCGGGTGTACCCGCGTAAATACGACTTGGAAAAGTCTGCAGCCGGCACATCAAAGGGACGCGGCTCGAATTAAACCCACGCTGGCATTGTTCGCAAACAGCCTGCCCAAGAGATATCGAAGCTTTGCCATCGACAGGATCGATCGATACCATTCGACCAGGTTTCTAACTGTATTAAACTTTAGTTCACACATTTTTGATCATTCTATACCTTTTTGGTAAATCGATGAATCGTAAAGAGATTTATTTTTCAAAGTTCAATTAAAATTAAAATAAAATTCTATTCCTTTTTATTTTCTTCGATATAATCAAAGCAACAAGTAGTTAATATTAACAAACACAACACATGTGCTTATCCTAAACTACTCTACATTTAATATTCGTAAACTTTCGACGTAAAGTTATCCAAAAATTATTTTTCGATTGACAAAACAAAGAAAAAGATCTAAAAAAAGAAATTCACCTAATGAATTTTGACTTTTCTTCTTATTCTCCGAATGGAGAATCACAATTACAAATAATTTTATCACTCTAATAATATACATATCTTTAACATCAGGTGTCACACACTTTTGCAATTCACTGTGTACGGTTTAGAAAGTATCACATCGAAAATAGTTAACTCTGTGCATAGCTATACATATGTATATATATACATATGTATATATATATATATATATATGTATATATATGTATATATATATATGTATATATATATATATATATGTATATATATGTATATATATATATGTATATATATATATTGTTTTCGTATATATACGTCACTTATACTTATATTTAACATAGTTACAAGTAGCGAGCAAATGTTAATACGATAAATCCTTCGATATTATTATCCTCGCATAAAATTGAAGGAACAATCGGAGGAATATGATTCGACATTAGTTCTCATTGCAAAAACTTACGTAATTGCAAATAATATGACCTGAATAATTGGAACGAATATCACTGCATTAATAAAAATAATGTGTCTGAACAGTTAATATGTTGAATATCCAAAGTTAAGAATTATGTAATATTTTGTTGAAAGCATTATAAGATGTTTCAAGATCAAAAATAAGTTGTCTCACTTGTGTATCTGACAGTTCATCTGAAGCAGACATATTATTCAATGTTTGTAACCATTCTGCAACCTTTTCTTTTCCATTAAAATCGCTGGGTAATATACTAAGACGATTCATTGTATCCATTAAATCTCTCAAATCTGGATGTAATTGATCCATAGCTTTGATTTCTAATCGAAGTTTGTCCATCAAGGTAATGAATAATGAAACAATATCTGCGATACACTTAGAAGTATTTCCTTTGTCATCTTTGATCGTAATTGGTCTATCTTCTTTAATCCTTTCCAGAGCTGCTGGACAATCCAAACGAAAAGCTCTTGCAAATGTATCTATTGTAGGAAACTGGTCGCTTTGAACCTAATATATAATATTTATATAAGATAAAATGAATTATAAATAATATTGGCCCTATAAATATCATATCAGAACATATACCTGCTTAAATGCTGCCCTGTATTGAACTAACAATTTACTGCATGCTGCTGTATACTCCTTTGGTGTGACACAATCTCTGATATAAGCCTTTTCTAAATGTTGCAAAGTATTGACCACCGCATAAAGATCAGCTTGATTGTCATGCTTTTCTCTTTCCCTGGCATTTTTGTATAGCTTCACTTCTTCATATAATTCTGGACGATCTTGAGCAACCGACATTATTGTGTATAGAATAATAGAAGAGTGAAACTAAAATGAAAAGAAAAAATATTTGAGGTTAGGTAGGCAAATAGATATGAAAGATAATTAATATATGTTAAGCTTTATAAATAATAAAATTATAATTCAATTTTAGTATTTATATGAAATGACAAAAAATTTATTATCTATAATTTCCTTATCAATTATCACATCGACCTATGACACATCAATCTCTTAATATTGACTGTGTATAAAATTCGTGTTATTCGATAAAAAAAAATTATAGTTATACACTACATACCTAAATAAACTTTCGTCGCACAAGATAGCCTCAAATTTCAGTAAAAGTATTAAAAAGAGCAATAATTTCTAATTGATTTAATTGATACAATAGACAAAAGGACTTCGAATCCGCGTGGACACTAATGCCATCTACCGGACAAGCTATAAAAAAAAATGGATTCCATACCATCCCAGTATGTTTTAAAAGATTTCAAATTAATTATTTTTACAGCATCTTCCATTCATTATTATTCGATAATAAGAAAATATGGGATTAAAATAAAATATATATAAATTTACTTTTGTAACAAATGTAAATTTATCTAAAGATACATAACAGAGTAATCTAATGATGAAGAAATGGATATAATTACAGCATGTAAAAAATTATATGATAAACAAATTATTAATATCTGTTATATACATCATATTACAATAAAAGAATTACAATCTAACTTCGTAATTTATTTTAAAAGTTAAACATTTCTTCCATCACATCAAATTTTTTATTGTTTGATCTTTCTTTGCAAGAAGGAAGTATTTTTTCCACTCCTAAACACGAACAATGAAATTCTTTAATAAGCACTTTCTCTCTTCTTCTCTCAGGTATCTTAATTTTGTTAAGAATAGTTTTTCTTTGCTCATTCGAAACTATTTTAATATACGTTATGTTTAATACCGATTTGGATTCATCCATTATATCCCATGGTGGATAGATATTTACAATGCTTTCTGATTTCATTTCAATCTTACCTACGATATCAGGTATAATAATCATAGTAATCATTTTATATGATATTTTTTCACTTGATGATTCAGATAAATTAGATTTTCTATGATTTTCATTGTTATTTAATAGATTAAAAGAATCGTTCAAGACAATTCCTTCTAAAAATTGTCTGTACAAATGCACTGTACATTTATCTACATATACGACCACGTGTGGCATAGACGTACCATCTATATCTACTTGCTTCATTTGATGCTGCCACATACGAACAAATGATGTTTGTCTATTTACCAATGATTGCAATTTTGCTGCTAAACTGTTCCTAGAATAGAAATAGAATTATTATGTTAATATATAAGAGTTATCATACAAGGAGATTTTTAAATCATTAAAAATATTTACTTTTTGATTCTGCGCTTTTTCTTACAAGAGTCTAATATTTGTAAAGACATAGCAGGCCAGCTATTCGTTCTTACTGGAGATGTAGCAGTACTTATAACAAAATTTGTTTGACTTAGTCTACTATCTATGCTTTCATTAGAAAAGGTTGTTACTTGTGATATTTTGTCCAATGAATGACCATTTTGAAATATAGATGACGCAGATTTCATGGATTCTACTTTAGACAACAATATTTCATCTGAATCTTTAAAAGATTCTATAGTCCATTCATTTGCGATTTTATGGGGAAGTTTATTCTTATAGATTTCTACTTCAG